AACGTTATGTCGTCTTAAAGACATCTTAAATCTGTGAAATACATTTTTACATGAATACACGCAACAATTTAAATTTCCCTTTCGCAATTTTTCCATTTTTCGATAATTGTCACTCCAGCAAATAATGCAAACTTCAGCCACCATGAGCGCCCTAAGTCCTACTTTTCCGCTATAGTATATCATCGCACGAAGCGAGTCGTTAATCTCGTCGAGTCCGTCGAGTGAAGCAAGACGAAAGTAGACTTCTAATCGATGCAAAAGAAATGCGAAAGCGTATACGCGAATTCTGCCGTTACGCTGCAACGTCGCACTCGCGATGAAGAAAACTCGCGGCGTTTAAAACTTTCTACGCGGACAAATAAAGGTGCGACAGGATCGCAGGCGCGATTAATTATCGCCGTGGCGAAAAAGTCGCTCGTATCTTGGGAAGGCGCCTGTTTGCTCGGCTCCTTCGCCGATAAATCTATCGAATTCGCGAGGGGGCACCGACGTACGGAGGGGGTAGTGTCGGAGTGCATTTGACGGTGCACTTATCGTCGAACGTGCGAGATCTCTGCGCGCTCGTTTTTCTCGTCACGGACCGAGGCAAAGAGGATTAGATCGAGGCGAGGCTTAACGTACGCAATCTTTAAAACAGGCCATATTTAATGCCGCGAGATGCGGGGCCGACGACGCGTTTTAGATCCGGGCTGTTAACCGAATTGGTCATCGTACGTAACGCGCCGCGCAAACGTCACGCGTTTGTATCTTCCGTTCGTACGATGCATCATTGCGCGTACATCGCGAAAATAGGTTTCTCTTTGCGGCGGTTAAAAAAAAATCGCCCCGTGCGTTTGTTTATCGTTGGATTTTTCGTTGCGGAAAAGGCTATTACAGAGCTAAATTATAGTCGAAATGTTCCCGACCGCTATTTTTTTTTTTTTATCAGATCCGGTATAATAAACTTTTCCGGGAGGGGAAAAATAATTGCGCCCGCGTTGTATTTCGCGTCGCCGACATATAGGCAGCCATATCTCTATTTAATCTAATGGAGTGAAGTAGATTGGAAAACGAAATTGGGCCGAGAGACTCGTACGGCGAGAGGGAGGGGGGGGGAGGGAGAGATGTTCCCGACTCGTATCCGAGAAGCGCCGGGAGCTACAGCTTCCTAAAGAATTAACGTACGGTCCCCTTATTTATAGTTATCGCCATTTAAAGCATATTTCCTGGCCGCGGGTACGACCGCGCTGAAAATTTAATGCCTTCCGCTGCCTCCCTCCTTGCGGGTCGTGCGAGGATCGGCACCGAGGGCGACACAATGCACCGGAGAACCGTTAATCGCCGTCCTTTCGCGTCGCGCCAGAAGCCAAGGCGTTACGCGCGCGGCGCAACGGCTCTCTCTCTCTTTCTCTCTCTCTCGCCCCGCTCGAAATTTCCCCGTCGCTTTAATCCGCGGCTGTTAAATCCACGAGTGTTGCCGGCGGAAAATGACACCTTGCTCGGAAGATGGAAATTTGAAACGGCCGCGCGTACGTTTCTTTCTTTCTTTTTTGTTCTACGCGGAGCAGCTTCCTCGCGGCGGCGCAAAAGTGTCGCACGTGCCTAGGGATCCTGTAATCAGAGGCTGGCCATAAGGCTATCTCGCTGTTCCACGATCGCAGGAATTTGACGGACTCTTATGGCCAGTCTCTGATTACAGTGTCTGTAGCACGTGCCGCTGCTGGCCGCCCGCCGTCGATGCGCGCGTAATAATTCATCCCTCGCGCATTCGGCGGAGCGTGTTACGCGCGTCGGCGGCGGCGACGGCGGCACTCGCGTCCCGCTGAAATTGCGGTGCCGCATGAATTATACGGGCGAAATTACAGCGTCGCGCAAAGTACGGCAGATCCTACATGTAATTACACTGTTTCGCCCTAAATGATACCGGCTAACTGACACGACGCTAAACGCGGCGTCGCCCGACGACGTCGACTACTCAGAAGCAGGGCCTACCTCGGCGGTAATTGCCGATGCGACCCGCTCGCATCGTAGTCTCGTATCGGCTTGGACGTGTTTCGCCGTTTAAGAGAGAGAACGGAGGGAACCAAGTAGAGAGTGCACATACGCGTCACGTTCGCGGCCGGGAGAACCTTGCGCCATGCGTAAAGACACATAGGCCGGTGCGGCGAGGCATCAGTGCCGTAGTCACGCTCGCTCTTTGTTTCGAGCGAGCGAGCGCGCGCGCGCGCGAGGTCGTTGTCCCAATTCTCGACTCGCGTCTGTGTCGTCGTCGTCGTCGTCGTTCGTCATCGATAGAGATAACAGCGATAACTCACGATTTAGCGACGCGCCGCCGGCAAGCTAATAAATTCCTATGCAGCTAGAAACGAAGAGAGCACCGCGGGTAAAAGGATGGAAAAATTATTATTATCCTTTGATGTATATTTCCCCTCTCGTATTGAGCGGAGGCGCGGTCATAATCCGATATCGTATTTTACGGGGGCAAATTTTATTTATTTTCTCGCGCACCCCCTTCGTCGCTTTTACGGCTTCTGTGTCGCGCGCATCTACATTATTTGATGCGATACGCGTGCTGTAGAGACAAACATTTTTTCCCCTGCGTTGTATACAGATCCGGATTTACTGTCGCGCATAAAAAATAAAATTGCACGCGGCGACGAAAGTTTTTCAAGTCTCGCATTTACGAAATTCGATAATTCGCTCCGAATAAATCGAATTCGCGCGGTGTAATTCCGGCGCATTTTGTGTGTTCGATCGAGCACCGACGAGCCCGAAATTGAAAATGCGCGAGCTCAGGTGCGCATCCTCGTAAATAATCTCCATGCCATCTGTCTTAATAGGTAGCCAGGCTGGCTTTACCGCTGGTAGAGGAGTGAACGAATGCGGAGATATATGTTGCGCGCGCGTGCGTGTGCGTGTGTGTTTGTGTGCGCAGCTTGAATAAATAAACAATCCGGCGCTCCGGTTGCATTTAATATTCCGCGAGGTAACGTGCATATGCGACGATCTCGCGACCAAATGTCACGGTTTCGGACATACGTGTCACATGGAAAATGGAAAATCGCATAAATAAATATAAATGCATCATTGATTTGCGCCCATGGCCGATCCGTGACGTTTTGACGTCCGAGTTTATATCGCTGCGAACTTTTTCCGAAGTAAGATAAATGCGGACCCAGGAGAAACGTGTGAATTATGGCCAAAACCAACCCACGGCATGAATTATAAGTTACGCCTAATAAAGAACTCGCGGCATTATTTTTAACAAGTAGCGTCACGAGTCAATTCGATCTAATGGTCGACCGACCGACTATTAGATCGAATATTAGAGAGAACAAATGTTTCGACGATTTATCTCCGTTTGTCGCGTCCCGTTGTTTATCGCAATTTTATACGCAGGAATTTACTACATTTCCAAGCGTACGACTCAAGGGGGTAACTTACTAGCTAAAATGTTGTCCCACCGACTACATGATTTCATTAGATTTCACGCGATTTTATCCGAGAAATAATTTCATCTAATTGCATGCAAATAATTTTCTTACACGCACGTACGTTTAAAAATAGGCGACGTTGTTAAGAGCTGTTAGGTTTCCTCAAAATATTATATCTTTTTGATTTTACTAATAAGTATTTGCTTGTAGAGGTAATTTCAATTAAGATTGTAGTATTCGGTTAGGTGGAAAACGTGTTTCCTCGCTTCTCCACTTTTCCCACCGGTCTAACCGTGGTCTTATTAGAACCAATAAGGATGCAGTGTTTGAGATCAGGTGACTTAAGGCTATATCCTGATTGGTTCTCGTAAGCAACCCGGCAAGGAAAATAGTACCGTGTGCCGTTGGCTTAAGAGTTGAAACAGACGGAAGTGTACATCGGAACGTCTCTCTGGGTGATACAAACAGAGACGATTTCCATTATTGTTTGCCGCGAAAAGCGGAAAGAGCCGCCGTTTAAAGCCAGTCGTTCCGTCTGCCGGAAAAGCGAGAGGGACGGCGCTTTGTGAGCATCACATGAAATCCACCTTCAGGGGGTGCATTCACCAACTCGGGTCGGTTTCGTACCGTTTGCAAATTTTAAGTGCCGCCCCCGGCTCTTTGACGCCTTTACGATCGCGCGAGGGATTTTTCCCGTTCTTGCTGCCAGAAGTACACGGGCGGACGACCCTTGAACGGTGCGAGACGATGCATGGTTTCAGTGACTTGGGATTTATCTACAACGGCGACAGATTGCAATACGGCGATAACGAGCCGTTTTGTTAAATCAAGCTGGACGGCTATTTGTTCCTTTTTAAACGGAGCGTTTAATGTACAAGACTCGTTTGAAGTGCGGCAGATTAGATCAACGAATGATCACTGAAACTACATAGGAAGTAATATCCTTAATTAATGTAATTATACATACGATTTACAAATATATTAAATTAATTAAAAGATAAAATAACTGCGAAAAGTCCGGTACGGGAATTTCGTATGCAAATTTATTCCAAGTGCCCGCGAATAACGCGGCTGCTCGAGCGTTCGCGTCTATGTGGTGCATGCGTGGCTCCGTCGTGTACGCGGGAGAGCGCATACACACGCGTGGCCAGAGAAAGTACAAGACGAAAGGAGCGAGAAAGACCGGAGGGGGCCACGACGCTTTCCAATAATTTCTGCGCTTTGTTGTAAATTCCCCCCCGCTAATTCGTGGTATTTTCTCGCTGTATTTTATGAGCGGCTACCGGCTTTGCCTCGCAAATTGTTTCCAGGAATTCTCCGTATGCTGTTAAATTACTGTACTTTCACATAATATGTGTGGTGGATTTTAGCTCGGCGCGGCGCGGCGTGCCGTGCCGCGCCGCACTTCGGCCCGGACTTCTAGGCTGCTCATTGGAATTTTGCGTTGCGCTCGTTTTCCCGGGAGAATTTTATTTTTTTAACCTAATCTCCTCCTATTACGAACAAAATAGTTGTAACCTTTCGCCCCCTGCGGCTGCCGTAATTTGACAAACGACTTTCGCTACAGACACTTTCTTTTTGTTTCAGGCGATCGCGACGCTACCGAAACGGCCTCTGGTAAGTACGCAGAATTATTTTTACAGTTTTCCCTTTTCTCCTTCTTAATAACCGCTGCTCGACCGCTGCGACGATCGGAACTGCACCGTTAATTTAAATTTAATATACGAAATAGTTAGATACTTAACTTCCTGTCGCGGCTCTTACAAGCAAACCTACCCAAGTGGGAACACACCGATTTTTATGAGTGTTGAATATGTTGTTTTTCAGCTCAAAATAAGGGACACGTATTTTTTTATACGTGCCCATACGCACTTTTAGGTGGTGAAACGCCCCTTTGAAGAAAATTTGATTTTCTCTTTCGGGGCGAATATTGACGAAAGTGTAAGGGTTAGAAAAAATTTGTTTCAATGAACATTGAATGGTTTGAATAGTACTTTAATACTGTCAGCAAAAAGTTTTTAATTCTTCTTTTTTAAAATACCCCCACCACTCAACATTTTTTATTACAATTTTGAAAATTCTCTAGCACCAAATTAAAACTTATTTTGTTACGAATTCAACCGTATCCCTTTCTAAAAAAGAGATGTTACCAGCGCGAATGTCGTTAATATCGAACGATTGTCTGTTTTCCGCGATGCCGATTCGTTTTCTTGAAGCGCGGTGTGCTTCACTTTTCTTTTAGATTCATAGTGAATGAAGATTTGTGATTTAGCAATATACATTTGATGTATCAACTATTGAGGTAAAATCTCTAATTTTAGTAATTAGAATTTAAGTAACAACGATTTTTGTTTCGAAATATTTTCTCGATTGAACAGAATTAATTGTTCATTTAATCAACACCAATAAGTCCGCAGAATGATACGCAAAACGTAGTAACAGCCGCGGAACAAAGTAATGTAAAATATTATATTAAGTACGGAATTTTCCATTACGTAGGCGGGTCAACGAATTCTCAACGTTTTTTTATTGTTTTTCACTCTGCGCGGTATCTTACTACGATTAAGCGGGACAACGAATTCTCAACGTTTTTTTTTGTTGTTGTTTTTCACTCGGCGCGATGACGTACGATGTTTTTGCGTACCATCATTGTACCTGAAGGTCGCCGCGTTCCCACTCGCTCGCCGAACGTCGAGCCGACAGGCAGCAGCAAGAGTCGGTCCGTGCGTTGTATTACTTTTGTGTTATCGGTTTCCGAGACTCGATCGCGCTGAATGCAGGGATGAAACGCTATTGATTTACACACCTTTATTAGTAACAAGTAACGTTCCTCGATTAATTATTCAATTTTTACAACTTGTAATGAGAAACGAATTGCATGTTGAGGCGACGGCTCTTTATCAACGTATAGACATTTCACGAGACTTACTCATCTAAAACTTTGTATTTTGTCGGTGCTTTGTCGCGGTTACATCGCGTTTACGCACCGCGCTCTTAATTATCTATCGATTTCGTGTAATCTGTTCCATTTTCGGGAAAAGAGAGAAATTTGTACTACTTCGGCGTTCGCGCTGTAATTCGCTCTGTCGTTCTTCGCAACTCAAACGGGCAGAAAGTAAAGAAAGTCGCTTATCGCACATTGTTACATTATGTAAATGTAATCGAAAATTATCTTGATTAACTGTTGCAATTAATAACAACTATATATCTCTGGAAACTTTGCTCACATAATTGATTTCGAGGATTATATTGAGTGGCAAAGATTGTAAAATATCGTTTCATTGCGAACTAATAACTACTTCTTTACCGCAGATTATGCTTTCGATGCTCGCGTTGCGTTTTATCCATTATCCTATTCTTCCGAATCAAAAATGCAAGTTGTTAGATTGAGTAATTTGTATCGTAGAAAGTCACGCGATATTTGTTAATAATATTTGGTGTGTTCCGCGGTATTTCACATCGCGTACGGGAGTGTCCGAAATTTCGCGCGATCGGTGATTCTCGCGAGTGAGTGTTGTGCGAGTGCCACAAGGAAATCTGACAATGAGAGGAGGAGGAGGCTAAGGAGGCATCGGGCAACGACGGAGAAATGGTGAGGTAAGTGTCTTACATTCTTATGTTATTTGCTACTTGTACAAAATAAAGCATCTGTTCTGTGTTTTTATTTTATTTATTCAAACGATTCAAACTAGGATTCGAATAAGTGTTACAGATAAAGCTATACATATAAAATTTTGTGAGTTTATATTTAAAAGAAAGACTTTCAGTATTCCATATAATTATTTTAATAAATACCTATTTAAAAAAATGTAAAATATAAAGTTTATTTAATACAATAATTTTGATTTTACATAATTAATCTATAATAATCATATACATATTTGTATTGTTACAGTTTAACATATACAGTTAACGATGTACAACTATGCTGTTGCAACTCGTATCAGTGAGTGATAAATTACTTTTTACTTTAAATTGACGTTGCGCCTACTACTTCGTTGCATGTGTACAAATTTTTAAAAATATACATACTGAGCTAGAAACTGCGCGCGCGAAGCGCGCGTTTTAACATTTCTAGTATAATAAGTTCGAAATTGTTATTAAAAATGTTGAGTGCTGGGGGTATTTTGAAAAAGAAAAAATTTAAAACTTTTGCTCATAGTTTTTAAGTTCTATTAAAACCATTCCACTTTCATTAAAAAGGTTTCTAGCTCTTACACTTTCGTCAATATTCGCTCCCAAAGAGAAAATCAAATTTTCTTCAAAGGGGTATTCGAGGGAGAAACCGCTGATCAAAATCTTGTACACCAATGCCCACTAATTACTTTTATCTTATTATCTTATTTTATCTTTATAATGCTCCAGCAAGGCCCAATGCCCAAAAAATGCCTAGTAATGCCCAGTAATGCCGCAAATCCGTACACTTCAATGCCCTCAGCGGTTTCCCCCTCGGGGGTATTTCACCACCTAAAAGTGCGTATGGGCACGTATTAAAAAAATACGTGTCCCTTATTTTGAGCGGAAAAGCATCGTATTCAACACTCGTCAAAATCGGTCTGTCCCCACTTGGGTAGGTTTACTTGTTAGTCCTTTATTCCTTCAAATTTGTGTTCGTCACATTTCAGCCGTGCGAATTTTATTAATTTGTATCGTTAAGATATACGATGTATACCTATGGCTCGACATTACTTTTCGCACCCTTCGTCAATGAGGATCGTAAAGGCTCGAATGACAAAAACGAAATTAGCTCGTCGCGGTACCTACGCGCGTCTCGCTCGTCCCGAGGTGAAAGAAACGTCGGGATAGAGACGTTTCCAAAACCGGTCGTCATTTAAAAATTTACGACTTGGACGGGCTGGCGCTGCGAGGCACGTAAAAGCGAAATGCTTGAAGCGATATAACGCCGCCGCATCGATTGCCGCCGAATTTCCATATACTATTTTTAATTTCGCATAAAACTCGCCACTCTCGTAAATATCGTAAATAAACGCGGGACAAAAAGCGAGCGCTGCCTCTCAATACGATATTCCCGACGCCATTTGGGATATTTCTGATAGTCCATTAAGGGCCACGTCGCATCTGAAAGTATTTAAGGGGTACTTGTCGAACGGCTTTAAATCGCATTCGTTATCACGTCGCGGTTTAGCGAAATCGCTCGTAACAACGGGAAGAGAAGGGTTAATGTTGCAACTACGAGTTATCATCGATCAACGAGCGTTGAGAAAAAGCTGTGGACGAACCGTCGAATCGGTGGCCTAATCAGCGAGCAACATTTTACCGTCCACGCGAAAACTGGAGCCGAGCGGTGGAAAATACGTGTGAGCGCGCCCGACGGATTTTAACTACCCGGGGAAGAACGAGAGAACCGCCATTAGTTGAAAAGTTTTCCCAACAGTCTGTCAGTCTGTTTTCGTCGACGCGCTTCATCTTATTCCGGTGAGCGTGCACGACGATTGTCTTCCGCCGGATTTTCGTCGGCACGAAACTTTTGGGGGGACTCAACGAATCACCGCCAGGTTGTCGTCGACGGAGATCGACGATCGGAGATCGCTTTCCCGATTCTCTCCGCCGATAAATAAGAAGAAATTATTACGTAGACGACGTGTGACTGGGTCATCATATTTTTCTTATCGACCGACGCGAGACCAGTCTTTTTAATGCGAAACACTTTGAAAGTACTTTCGTAATTGAAGCGTTGAAGTAATTTAACATTCTGAATTATTCGAAAATTTATTGTTATGTTGGAGAGCGCATATCGAGAGAACCACTTTGTTACGTCTCTCTTTATCTCTCTTTGCGTCATTGAAATAGTCTAGTGATAATAATTAATTCATCCTGGGTTACATTTAGCTACTTTGTATATCGCGCTCGTGTTTTCAATACGTGACAGTGAAAATCATTTGTGGCTAAGGCGGGACGGTGAAATCGATCTCTGATAATCTTCTCAGTTCCTCGGTAACGCGGGGATTGTAGTTGTAAATGTTTATGGCGTGTACGTATACGTTAGCTGGAAGGCAGCGCGCGGCTCTCGCGACGTAAACGCAAGAGTTAATACATTCCGCTGTGAGCACCAACGGTGCCGTCGGCGGCAACGGTATAAAGCCGGTGTTAATATTTGATTTGCCGGTTGCTGGGCGGCGATGCGCATGCCTGGCGTATCTTCGACACCCTCTTCGCGTCCCACCCCCTTAAATCTCGCCACCCTTATCCGTCCTCTCGTCCTCTTCCCTCCCCTCCCTCCTGCCCCTCCCCCCCTTGCGGAGAAACTCGTATTTACCTATCTGTCGCCGCTCTCAATAGTCGGGATTTAATACTAGGTGGTTGCCGAGCGGTGAACTCGCGTCTTGTGTCTCGCGGATAAGAATTATCCTCCGAGCGATCTGGTTTCGCGGCCGACGGGTTCAACGATCCCCTCGCGTAACAACTCGCGCAACGGTACGATATTTTATTTCGGATAATTTTGGCCGGTGTTGCTAACGTCTGGCGGTCGATATACCACGGTAATTTTGATGCAGTCACGAGAGAGAAAGAGAGGGAGGAGGAGGGGGGGGGGGCGAGAGCGCATGGTGTCACCTCGGAAATTGTTCGATCGGACTTTACGATGAACCCGCTATTCC